AAATCAAAAGAAGTTTCAGAAGAACCTGGCTGACCACCAGCAGTTAGAGCAGTCTCAATAACAGCTAAACCCAGCTAGACTTTCCAAATCCACTTTTCCCAGCCTTCAAACTTCCAACAGCCATCTCCAACTGGAACCATGTGTTTTCCACCCTGAGGCCAGATGCCCATCTGCAGCTCCCTGTTGACTGGCTGTGATTAACTCTGCTAATCTCACTGAGGTTCCTGTTCTTTAGTTTGGCTGACAGCTCACAGTACCAGTGTACAAGCAGTCTTATTAGGGAGTTTCTGCTGTCTTGGCTGCAGGATCTGAGCTGTTATAAAACAGATTACAAAAATATCATCAAAACAGAAGACAAGACTGGAAAATTAAAGGGAAGATCTCAGAAACCTCCCAGATTGACACTATTGCAATTGCTGCACTTCACCATTACCTAAACACTCACTTACTAGCATGTTTTACCAGTAAAATTCTCTCAAACATGAAAATATGTATACATTACCACCCCTCTCAACATTACATACTTTCAACAAAGTACAACTCTATCACTGTCAAATAAAACCAATTGATAACACTCCAAGTCTACTGCCAAAACTCTCCTACTTGACAGTCAGAAGGCATAACCGCTAATTAAAATCCAGATTCAAGGCATACAAGCAAAATACTTCCAGCTTCAAGAATTCCTGCACTTTGGAGACCATTATATCTCTGATCAAGATATTAAGGGCAGGCCTCTGGAATTCCTCAGCTATTCATCCATTCTCAGAAGCCAATCTGCTCTGGTAATGCCTCCCATCATGAAGTAATTTTTAACTGACTATTTGTGAAATATTCCAGATATGAGCAAAAGCTGTGAACAAAAGCAGAGAGCAAGCGCTTGAAAAACATAAGAAAGGCACATGAAGGGGAAATAGAATTGGTGATTTCTAAAATACTTGAGCAAGAGGGGATCAAGGTACCCTCTAATGTAAGGATTTACACCTGATTTGTTCTGAATCCCTTGTGCTCCCTCTGGGGGTTTGCAGACACCCATACGTAGGCATTTGCTGGATGCTTGTCAGAGGTGGTATGAGTAATTTCTTCCTGTCTCATAGGGCTTGGTGGCCATCCAAAAAACAAGGGAATTAGAAAGGGGAAAGAATGTGTGAGTCACAAGGGGATTTTTAATTTGTAAATGGCATTTGTAAGGCTCATGTTGAAATACATCATCCAATTCTGACATCCAAATTTTAGAGAGGCTGTTATGGGTGTGGGGGAATGAGTAAAGGTGCAAAGATAATGGACTCAGAAGATAGAAAGATATACAGCAGGAGACTGAAACATTTTAGTTCACTTAAGATATCAAGGTGATTTGATGACTTGATGACCTAATTTTTAAGAACTTTCCACAGGAGAAAGATAGTAGTAGTTACTCAGATTGGTTCATGAAAGTGATGTAAAAGCCAAAGTAAGACACATAACTTCGAGTAATACATATTAATTTGGTAAATTTTTTGCATATGGGAGGACAAATCATTAGAATAAGTCTCCATTATGGCTCAAGAGAATGCTTGAGTCCATGGGCATCTTGAGTCTGGGCATCTTCTGAAATATTTACCTCCATCAAGTTACTGGGCTTTGAAGAGGGATAGCATATAAAGTTCATATTGAGAGAAGAGAGTTATTTATCTAATGGCCCTTCTTAAATTAATATATATTTCAGGAGAGAAGTACAGTGTGCTGTGGTGTGGCTCCTTGTTATGCTTCTGAAATCAAGTCCCTCACCCAAATACAATTCTGACGGCTACACATGCTGGGGGAAGAGTAAAGCACTCTTCTATCACTAAGTGGTATCCTTGGTGTCCTGTGACTTTTCTCACCCATGAAAGCTTGTACATTAATAACACTCTGCACTAAGGTTTCTCAAAACAAGGTCCCAAGTCATTTTTGGGACATAAACTAACAAAATAGACTGACAGAGGCAGATTCAGGACGCAGTTCAGGTTTTCAGCAAACCATCTGTTGTTTAAAAAAAACTGAAAACTTGCACATATTGAGACAATTTCTAATTCAGGCTACCTCTTAAGCTTTAACTACTTGACAACAAAGAAAAACACCTTAGCATTTAAAACTCACAAAATTCTACCAGGAGCATTCCAGACTCCCTGGATAAAACTGAACATTGTCACCTCAGGTAAGTTTCAGTGCAGATGTGAGTTTTCATAAAATTTCAGTATTTACTTACACAGGTAAATATAGATACCTCAGATATCACTGAGAATAACAGAGGTAATTCATTATCACATACAGCTTGTTCATGTCTGTCCTTACTTTCTCCTGTGGTTCTATTAAGAACAATGTAGAATGTTTGTCTAACAGTCTAACAGGAACATCAAGGTTTATTACAGCAATTCTCCTATGAAATCTCCGATGAGAAGTACAGAAATTATTATTTCTGCATCTATATATTTATTAAGAAATACAGGTTAGCAAAGAACAAAGTAGCACAGTTATCTTTGCTGAAACAACAAAAAACTTTGCTTAAAGCATTTTGGTTATTTTTGTTCACATAAAAAAGTTCTGTGAACCTCAACAGTGTTTGATCATATGATTCACAGGAATTTTTTCCCATTTATTTTAGGAATGCAGAGCATATATGCAATGCAGTATATATAATAAATCAAAAATATATACAATAATATTTAGTACACGTATTCTTCTATAAATATACCTGCATGTAAGTAGCATTCATTCCTAGCTATCTGATCACAGTGTATTTAAAATTATTATCATCTGCAAGGTAAATGCATGTTTTTGCATCCATTCTCAATTAAAAATTACTTTCATTTTCATAAATTGCACACAGGTTCAATGAGAACATGTAACCGCGGAAATAGAGATCTCTTCCAAATCCAGTAGAAAATTCAAAAATTACCTTCGTTCATCAAGACTAGGTTAAAAGTTCAGAAGACTTTTCTTACCCTCTGTGATCAAATGATCACAATTCTCTCATAAGTACTCATATTCTTGAATTATTTTCTTTATACTTGTGGACGTCATACTTTTACCCTAACTTAATAACAAAAGAGGTGGATCAACTGGAGAAAGTACAGAGGAGCTTAACAAATGGGATCAGAATTCTAGAAAGCACATTCTACTGAAAGAAATTGGTTTGTTTAGTCTAAAAAAGAGAAGACAGAAAAGATATGATAACAGTCTTCAACTATGTAAAAGGTTGTTGTAATAAGCGTTCTTCATGCCCACAGGGGATAGGGCAAGAAGCAAGGAGCTTAAATTAGAGCCAACATGACTTATAGATCATGAAAGACAGTTCAAGATTTAAAAGCTTATCTACTTAAAAATTACGTTAAATATATATACGTAGCAAGACGCAAATTTACTAACTAGTCTTTAGTGTAGCACAAATAGAAAACAGATCCAGTGTGGTGGACCACAACATTTGTCCATGTGGAGACCAGGGCAAAACCACCAAGTGCTGGCAGCAGAAGCTCAGCGAAAAGGATTCGCTTCTTCTTCCACAATGGCCAAACACTGAAGATCTTTGCTGCACAATTACTCGATAACTCTTACTTTTGCTTAAGGCTATTTCAGTTTCCCCTTTGTTGTGATTTAGTTCAGTTCAAGCACAAGAACATAATTTCAAAATTCTAAGAATAATTCTGACTTGGTCAGAGGAACTGAAAAGGAAAAATAACAAATACACAATAAGGGAGCTGTTCTCCTGACATCACAAGTTAAAATAAATGACTCTGATGTGAAGAAAAAAGCATTTCACCCTTTCTCCCTTCAGTGTTGCTTATTACTGACCTCTGGCTCTAACCACTTGCTCTTTTAAAAATAATTTCATTGTGTCTGGACAAATAGAAATGTGAGTAACTATTAACGAATCATTGTCATTCAAATAATCCCATCAATGTCTACCTCTCCATCATTCTTTCACTTTTTTCCTTCAAGGGGAGAAGATTCTGAGCTGAGTGATGGAAGTCGTATTTAACTCACCTCAGTGCTAGTCATGCAACAAAACAGGCAATAATCACACCTTGTGATATGATGTAAAACTGTTCCACCCTATGTTTACTTTAGTAAAACAGGCAACAGAAAATTTATGCCTGTGTATCACCTGGACATTTAAAAAGCTGCAGAAATCTAAATAAAGCACAGCACTTTACTAGTTTTCTGTTTAAAAGGAAGAAATCTGTTTTATTTTCTTCCCTAAATCTTAGATACTGAACAGTACCTGTAGTTTCTATAGAATTGTAATTACTTCTTACTTAAAGAGATGTTGAACAAAGCAAAAAAAAAAAAAAACATCTGTTCCACAAAGTGACAGGCATTTAAGGAAAGAATTATCTCTGTCACAGTAGTTAACAGTGTTTTTGTTAGATGCCCTTTACTCCACTAGCCTTTTTAACCACAAGAAAACTGTGAACAAAACCATTTTGTGTTCTGTGTGTACAGTTCAAAGCCCTGCTTTGTTGACAGACACAAATAATATTTCATCAAGGAAATATTGTTTTTCAATACCGGCTCTCAGAAGACATCTAGCATCTTTAAGGAACTGAGATTTGAACTGAACCATCTGGCTAATGGAGCACTAAATTAATATTAATAAATCAATCAGCAGGAATTAATCATCTGACATGGAATTCTCAAAATGCCTTGGATAAGAGGAAATATATGCATAGGCTGAAAGAGTGATCATCTTGAGCCAATATGGATTTTTAAATTAAATTTCTCACTACCACCATGGTCAGATATACCTAAAGCAAGGATGATATAGAAAAGCTTTGCTTTTCCTCATTAATATTGGACTAAGTAACAACATATTTTAACCCTGCTCAAAGCGTTCACCAAGTACAGAGCTAAAACTGTGTGGGAGAGCACAACTGCTAATGAAAACCCAATAAACATCATTGTCCTAGACTCAGGCTGGAATCTCAAGTACCTTCACCTTCCTCAAGAGTAAAGAGTAAAGGTGACTCACTCAAACAGGTTCTTACCTTGAATACTCCTTTTGAAAAAGGCTTTGCAGCCCTCGCAAGACCAGACCCCGTAGTGGTACCCTGAGGCGTAGTCGTTGCAGACGGCACAGTACCGCGTCTCCTTGGTGGCCTCCATGGCCAGGCTCCCCTTCTCGGTGGTGCTGGACATCCTCTCCCGGATGCTGTGGCGCCTGTTGTCGGAGCTCGGTCTGTTGGCAGCAGAAAAACAAGCAGAGTTCTTTCAGGGAGGTCAAGCTTCATCCTCTGCTTCAGGTTGTAAAAAATAATTCCTTTTTGTTTGAAAATAACTGGTAGATGAAAATAAAAAAAATTTGTCTACTGCCCTCTCTCCTAGTTGGAAAGTTGCATAACTAGTAAGATACAGGGCAATTTCTTATAAATCTGCCTGAAGTTATTGGGCATTTTACCTTGAAAAATAAAAAAAATTTGATAAATTAATGAAATATTTGTTAAATTAACCTAATTTTCAGCAACACAAAGAAATACCAAAAAAACCAGCAGTATTTTGTGTACCTGCTCCCATCCAAAGGTTTCAGCATAACTGTAATATCAGAAGCTACGTTGAGAATCTGAATCAACAATCACTTATGATTGCACCTGAATTAGTTTAATTATTAACTTAAATTATTATATTATATAAACCTAAATTATTAACCAAGCTGTTTTCAAGTATTATTGCACAATTAGAGATGCAAGCTTTCCTTAACTTGTCAAGACATAATACTGCATTAAAAAGTGCCTTTTCTCATTACAATAATACTTTCATAAAAATTAAGATGTTTCATGGCAAAAAGAAAAAAAATATCTCATTAAAAATTGTTGCCAAAGAACTTTTGTTCCAGTGACACAAACATTACTGGACATGTACCACACATGCGCATGACCAGCAAGTGCAAGATGCTGTGCAGGTGAAAACCAAACAGATCTATCTGTAAGTGGCAATGAATTCACATCCACTGAACCTGGTAAGAGGTTATTATGGGTAGATGCTGCAGGTGTGGTACACAAAGCTGGGAGGATGTGAAATTGCCAAGGGAGCCACCAGTGAACTCTGGGACTGCCCCTGGAAGGCAAACGGTTCTTTGCAAAACATGCTCTCCAGAAAGAGGCTGTGCTAAAAATTGTCCAGGAGACAAATACCATTGGGTGTGACAGCACCAGACAAGCTAAAGCATGAAGAATCTTACTGTTTATAATAATTATCCACTTACATGCATGCTTTAATTGCTGGTCAGTAAATAGGTGGCTTTTATCTTCCCAGAGTGGTTTTATCTCCCCAACATTTTCTCAAATAAACATATCCTGGTTTTGAGCCTAGGAGACTCTTTCAGATTTCTTCCTGCATACCTAATTCGCCTTATTCCCTTCTTGGGAGCAGCAGAACTTGCTATGCTTTGATGAACCGATGAATCTGGCACCAAGCACACCTTCCTGCTCCAAACCTGTACTCCCCAGCAGCTTTCTTATTTCTTTTGGTATGCTGTAATGTCTCATGTAGCCTAAGTTCCCTGGCATCTCCTGCTGCAGTACCTCTCAACTGCTTTCTACCAGCCAAAGGCACCTGGACACCCTCACATGTGCTCTCAGCCATCCCCTCAAGACTTTATATATATAATTTCTGTCCCCAAATATGATATTAATTCAAACATTTCCAATGAAAATATACCAGTTTAGAGGAACATGAAGCTCTACCAAGTCAGCAGAAACTGCTACTGGCATCATTCAGGAAAACTGTATTTTTTAAACCAAATTTTCCTTGTCAAGACATATACATCAGCTAATTTTGAACATTTACTTAAATAACCTTTTCCTTTTGCTTGGAACTTGTTCAGAAGTGAAGAATTGTAAAGGGTGAAGGGCTGACATGACACATCTCTGGTTTTTAGTGAGATAGGAAAATTGGAGAATGTCACAATTGACAACATGATTCTATGAAATTAGGCAGGGGGGAAAGTCCTTGAATATTTTAGATGCTAACATGTAAAAATTAAAAATTTCAAATGTGCCAAAATTAATACAGTATCATTAATCAATCATTATTGATACAACACATACATTGTACATATAACTACCTTTTCCCTTTTCCAGCCCAACAAACCTAGTTAATGTTTTTTATTCTTCTCAAGGTCTTGAACCTTCCTTTGAATTTGCTTTATCCCAGTGCCTCATTTAATTGACTTCCTTTTTTTCTCTACTAAGTACTGATCAAAGCTGTTGTTTCTTATCTTCTCCACCCCATTCTCTTATGTCTGCAGCTTTATCACCTCTGTCAGTATATGTTTAAATACACCATGTTGTGGCTTCTTTAAAATACATACTCTTAGGTACACACAACCACAAGAATGTTTTAAATATTTAAAGTAATCCAGCAAGCAATCTAATAACTGTCAATATAATTTTAACATCCAGAGACTAATCCATTAGTTATGCATGGCGACTTGATAGACATTCAAAATTTTTGACCAATTTTTAAAAAACTGATACAAATATGCATGTTATAGAAGATAAGGTTCCCAGAATTATTTTCATATCAATAAGAAGTACCAAAAAATCAAAACTTTGCACTTTAAAAAACAGTATGAGAAAAAGAATTTGATGTTTCAAAACAATTATATATTTTTGCAGGTGTGTAGCAGTTTTCCAACATTATATGCTTACTAAAGCAATCCTAGTTTCCCAGTTGGACATAAAAGAAAACCTTTTCATAGGTAAAACCAAAATGAAGAAATACTAAAAAGTATCAGTCATCACCAATCTATCAGTCCAGATAAATTAAATTTTCGTCTTTTCAGAATATTCGTCCTTTTTCAGATGAAGCCTAGGTTCACAAACACATTTTTATTGAAGTTGTACTTAAGAAAGATAAAAAACTTACTCAAAAATTACCTGAAACAAACAAACAAAAAAAAGCTTTTTCTAATATAGTACAAATAAAAATTTCATAGAATACATGCTCTCCAAACAAAATAAGATGCAAGAAAACACTGATAGGGAAGATGCAGGAAAGACAGATATCTTTTCATGCTTGTGTGGAGTCTGTCCCATAGGTCCTGTCCATCCTCCATCACAGGAGGCCCCTGTTCCAGAGGAAGGCTGCAGGCAGAAGCAGTGAGGGAGCTGGTTCCCTGCTCATTCCCAGAGCTGTGGTCCCAGGGATCACAGGGAAGCAGAGCTGCTGCTCACTCCTGCCTGCAGTGCTGATGTGTGCCAAACCTCGCTGCACACCAACTTGCAACGTGGAGAGAGCATCATGAATCTGTCAACACAGGCTTTCAAAAAGCAAAGGAATCTAAAGATGACCTTGCTGCTTCCCACCCTCAGAATCAGCTCCACTCCTGCAGTGCTTGAGAAAGGTTTTGCAAACTGGCCCTGCAGAGTCATCACATTCAGGCTTTGGTGAACCACAGTTCACCAAAAACTAAAGCAAAGGAAGCAAACTGAAATACCCCTAGCCCCATATACCCCAAAAATAACATTCTTTCCATTGATATACAGTAGAAATAAAAGCTAGTAATAAATTAAGTCAATACTTATTAGAGGAGGTGAAGAGAAAAACTTTTTGTGAAAAGAGGATCCCAATAATAGAGATTGCTAAATCAAAATAACATATCAGATTTCATCCAGAAACCAGCTGCTAATTAGTGTACATCACAGACCACTGATGCTGTGTCCTGACAAAAAAAAAAAAAAAAAAAAAAAAAAAAAAAAAAAATCAACAAAAAACAACAACAAAAAAACATAACAGCACACTCTTCATCAAGTTTTCAGTTAGGTTTCAAGGACTGGTCTTCTGGAGAACATAATACAACAACTTAACCCAGCTTAATGACTTTGCCAAGACCATCATTCCCAAAATATAATAGCAGAATCTTTTCTGCAATTCCCTTTGTAACCTATGCAAACAACAACAAAAAAACTAAAGGATCAAAAGATCTTGCCAACTATGTTTACCAAAAAAACCCCACAAATCACAAAGAAAGAAATCCCCAGATAAAGCCCTCTCTCCAAGGCCTGCACAAAACCAGAACAGATTAGAAATAGAAAAAAACCCCAGAATTTACAGCACATTTCCAAATGTAATAACACAGCAGACATAAAATGGAAAGTGTTTGGAGCCCACAGAGCAGAACAAACTTGTCTCCCACACTCCCTTTCCTGTTTCACACTTCAATGAGTGTGCAAGGAAACAACACACCTCTGCTTTACACATTCATTCATCATCTGCAGCTCTGAATCAGAAAGAGATTATTAACTTTATATTGACTGCAAAGGGAAAAGGAAGTGTGCATGAGACAATACAGTTTTATAATGTAAACCCAGGTTTTTTACATCAAGAGAATCTGACTGGCAGGCAGAATGAATTTAGGATAGTCCCAATTATGTGAGGTGAAGCCCAATTTATTCACAACCCCAGCCTTATCTGAAATAAAGAGGTTTTGTAGTAGGAGGGCTTAAGGGGGAAATTATATAAATAGTTTAAAAAGACACCTTGAGAAATTCTAATTTTCTGGATTTATTTTGAAACACAAAACTTTAATCTGTAGGTGCTGAGTCTTTCTTACCAGAATGGATGAAATTTCCCAGGGTAAGGTGCCTCAAAACTAATGATCATTTCAAAAGTACAAATGCTTTTGCACACATTGGACTTATAATGACACCAGTCTGCCATTCCGTATTAAGTTAATCTGCTGTTATAATGTGAACTTCTGTATGGGACAAAATACTTATGAAATACTATTTGAACATATCTAAGTGCTTGAAAACACTTAGAAGACATCTCAAGGAGAGGTACTGCAATAGGATTGAGCAAGTATATAAATAAAGAGAAAATTGCCAAATATATTAAGGATCTCAAAACTGTACTCTCAAAAAGTAACCACAATGAATCTGAAAAAAAATAAAATCATATGCCATGCAAATGAAAGTATTGGCTTAAAAAAATCTAAAAATGTCTAGGGCTGTAATTAAGCTAAGTACGACCTCATGACAATGAGAGAATGCCTTACATGAAGTTATAACTCAAATGGACAGAATCACAGGATATTTTAGGCCAGATGGAACTGCAGGACATGACCACATGCCAAGCCAGTGTAGGCACAAGAGAGGCTACAGCCATGAAGGTGGGCTCCAGCCATGGGAGCAGAAAATGGCATCACTCCTTGGCTGATACTCCACTGGTGATGAAGAT